AACATTTGTATTCCTGTGTTTTGTCTGTTATATTGCACTGAAGTTTCAGAACGCATTCCAAAAATATTACTCAATTATGGCACTAAAATAGCATCCAAATGATCATCGAAATAAATCACGCACTTAAGTCCACATTTTTTTAACAGCACTTGAAAATGAGAGGAATGTTTAACTGTCACCAGTTGTTGTTTACAATTCTGCATTGCTTTGTAATACTTTTCCGGTTGCTGTTGTTCAATTTAAATTTGACGTGCTTCAAGTCAATGATCTACCTTTTGCCACACATATGCTTAAGTGGTCCAATATGTACGGTTGACGCCTGTGAATCAGCGACTGCCGGTTCGAATCCGGTGCAAAGGTATTTTTTAGACTTATATTAACAATCTAAATATGTAAATCCAATTAGTCAGCAACAAGTTAAAGCAGCTCCATATAAATGCATAAGATATGATGGGATCTTTCATTATTATTTTGAAATAAAACTAGAAGGCTGAACAAGACTGTTATTTAATGCCTTAAAAAGCTTAGAATGTATATTACTGTTAAGCTTTTGGCTGATTAAAATAACCAGATTTAGATGTTTAAAAGCTGAATAAAGGTTAACGTGGTCTATGTACAGCAATTATTCAATCTAAGGCTGAATTAAAATCCATCAAACAACCCTTATTAAGCTTAAAATTGTTACCTGGGTATTGATCCAAATAAATCCAATTTAACTTTGATTTGCATTCTATAGAAAGGAAAATTATAAAAAAAAATCTTCCAACGTTGGGTGAATTTTACCTATTCAATTCGAATGATCATTAAATAATTTTCCCTTTATGAATTCTTGAGCAAGACTACTCAAAATTGAGATTTTTTCTTCAACCTAATTTTACCTAGCCCCACTGATGATCACATGCACATGTTTCTTACCGTGTAGCTTGCTACATGGAGAAAAAATACTACCTAAAATTTTAATTCTTTTTACTTAATTTTGAGTTGAGCCTCTCACTTGCGCACTCGTTTTTTTTCCTTGATTTGTTTTCCATCGATCTTGTTTTCCGTGCTGAGCACCAATGCTACCAACGCCAGGGAGGCAGCTCTCACACCTGGACCCTACCTATCGACCCATCAATCCATGAACCGGGGACTAACGGCTTTACTTCCCGAAGGAAGGCGTGATCAGAGATGTTATGCCTCAGAAAATCCCGGCGGCGCCGACTGGGATTGAACCCAGGCCTGCTGGGGTGAGAAGTTATTACATTTACCACTACACCACCGGTACCGCTTACTTGTACTCGTTATTGTTGTCAAAAAAGGAACGATAGGTTTGATCCAGTTCAGCTCAATAAGTTACTTTTGAGTAAATTGTATATTCTAAAATTTACGAGAATTAAACTTAATTTTGGTTAGAATATACTTAAGAGTAAGTAAATTTTTTTGCTGCTTTTAAATGGAAACTACTATATGCAATTTACCAAAATTTGAGTTTTTAGCCTGAACCCGGGAATAGAGGGAAAAGTACTTAATTTTGGGTAGTTTTTCATCTCCGTGTAGAGGCAAATGTATGACAGCTCCAGGGATGGATCCAACTCAGAACAGAAAGAAAAAGAAAAGAAAAATTTCAACTTCACTCAATTTTCAAATCATGTGCTCTTCTCCGCTTAGTTTCGACTTTTTTTTTCGTAAAAACTGAGGACGGCTGTTGGGATGGCCTCTTCAATGCACAAAAAACTGAGCAAACCACATTTTGTTCCTCTTTGAGAAACAGTAGCCCGTTGATGCGATGAATCAAGGAATGCATATTTCTTATTTGGTTTTTATCGCAGTATTGCAGCAAACGTCACTGCACTAACTGGTTAGGTACGCGCTTTTGGATCGAAGAGTCGGTGGTTTTAAACCGGGTTGTATTCTGCTACTTTTTTACTTCATTCGCCACCGGGAGCAAATTCAAAAGCTTCTCATTTAAAGAACACATTGAGGAAAGCAACTTTTAAATAATAGCACCACTCTTTCTCCGTTTCGTTTTGTGATTGCCTCAATGTGAATGTGTTTTCATAAAGCCGTGTAATCCAAGGTGTAATCGTTCTCCTCAATGTGATAAGCTATAAAGTTTGCCCTTTGCTAAATAGGTTACGTGCCGCAAGGACTTGGACGGTATCCTTCTCACGAACGAGTGTGAGGTTATTGAGAGGTGGAAGCAGTACATTGACGAGCACCTCAATGGTGATGCACCAGGAAACGAAGGTGGCACGGCAACAAACCTTGGAGCACGTGCAGAAGACGACAGGCTACCGGCCCCTGATCTTCAAGAAGTTGAGGAGGAGATCAGTCGACTGAAGAACAACAAAGAAACTGGTGTAGATCAACTACCAAGTGAGCTATTAAAATACGGTGGTGAATCACTGGCTAGAGCTCTGCGCTGAATAATAGGAGGAGGAGGAGATATTACTGGAGCAGTGGATGGAAGGTGTCGTATATCCAATCTACAAAAAGGGCGACAAGTTGGATTGCTGCAACTACCGCGCGATCACTACAAGGTACTCACCCAAATTCTATGCCGCCGCCTGTCACTATTTGCAAGAGAGTTCGTGGGACAATACCAAACGGGATTCATGGGTGCCCGCGCTACCACGGACCAAATTTTCGCGATTCGGCAGGTTCTGCAGAAATTCCGCGAATATAACGTGCCCACTTCATCGATTTCAAATCCGCATACGACACAATCGATCGAGATCAGCTATGGAAAATTATGCACGAGTACGGATTTCCAGATAAACTGATGCGATTGGTCAAAGTGACGATGGATCGAGTGGTGTGCGTTGTTCGAGTATCGGGACACTCTCGAGTCGCTTTGAATCTCGAAGGGGGTTATGGCAAGGTGATGGACTTTATGTCTGCTATTCAACATCGCGTTAGAAGATGAGATCAGAAGAGCTGGGATACACACGAATGGCACGATCTACAGGAAGTTGATCCAGCTTCTTGGATTCTCCGATGACATCGACATCATGACACGGAACTTTGAGACGATGACGGAAACGTACATCAGACTGAAGGCTGAAGCTAGGTGGATTGAACCTGCCATCAACGCATCGAAGACAAAACACATGAGAGGAAGAGGTTCTAGGCAATACAATGTTGGTCTGCCCAAGCTCAGATTGACGGTGACAAAATCGAGGTGGTCGACGAGTTCGTGTATTTGGGCCGCCGAAAATGATAGGCAGCAGAGAAATTCAAAGACGCATTATGGCAGGGAATCGTGCCTATCTACAAGACACTGATTAGACCGGTGGTCCTCTACGGCCACGAGACCTCGACTGCCCTAGGTGTTTTCGAGCGGAAGGTGTTGCGTATCATCTACGGTGGAGTGCAGATGGATGACGGAACGTGGAGGAGGCGAATGAATCACGAATTGCACCAGCTGTTGGGACAACCATCTATCGCCCGCATTGCATAAATTGAGCGACTACGGTGGGCTGGGCACGTCGTAAAAATGTTGCATGACGACTTAGTGAAAGCGACCCAACGGGAACAAGAAGAAGAGTTGCTTAGCGGGCAAGGTGGATCTACCAAGTAGAAGGCGACCGGCGGACCCTTCACAGACTACGAGGCTGGCGAAGTGTGGCCATGATTTGAGTAGAGTGGAGACGACTTCTTCGAACAGCAGAGGACAACAAGGCCTTAGCCTGATTGGTAAGTAAGTAAGTATCAAAACCGAATATATTATCAATTCTCAATGGAGTAATACTAAACAAAGGACACGGGAGCGGCACTGGTGGTGCAGTGGTAAGCGTGATTACCTCTCACTTCAGCGGGCCTGGGTTCAATCCTAGTCGGCGCCGCCGGGATGTAAAGCCGTTGGTCCCCGGTTCATGAGTTGATGGTAGGGTCCAGGTGTGGGAGCTGCCTTCCTGGTGTCGGTAGCATTGGTGCTCAGCACGGAAAACAAAATCGACAGAAAACAAATCAAGGAAAAAAAGGACACGGGGTATACCGCAATAGATAAAATTACTGGTCACAGTGAATTTATGTCCCAACAGTGCAGTGGTTGTCGAGGAACACTTTGTGCTGTATTTGGTGTCACTCACATACTTCGATTTCATTGAGCTCAGTCTATTTTTATAAGACAACACACAGAGACTCACATTAGTAAATTCAGAAGAGCATCTAATTGTAATTCAAATGGTCCTTACGGAAGATATACTTAAAATTTGAAAACTTCTTGACGCTTGAACGTTTTTTTTTGTTATGAAATTTAAGTTGGAATGATTTTTTGTGCTATTAGCGTGAAAATGCATCAAGATCCCAAGCATGAGATTTGTTTGCAGATTTGCACGTAAGTTTATTATTTTATAAGGACTCAATGAATGAGAATGTGTTTTAAAGATTGAGTTTTTCATTGATTGTATTTTCTATATATACATAAATTCCTAATACAGATTTTAATGAAAAGAAAGCAGAATTTGCAATGTTTTGCTATATGAACCGATTCTGTGGCGTGGAATAATTGTGTAATTTTTATGTTAGCCTAATTTTCGAGCAAAGTTTGTTTCCCCAAATCAGTGATGGAAAAGTTCGCAAAAAATCACTATGACTCGCGAACTTTTCTCTTGGTGAACTATGTGAAATATCGCGAACTTTTCCAACACTTCCCTAAATGTATTGCGTCTAGAATATCACCTCGTGAAGTTTTTATACAAACATATGCATTCTGGAAAAAAAAAGCTTGCTTGTACGCTGCAGTCTATTGCAAAATCTACCATTACATTTGCTGTGGATGACAGAGAAATGTGTTATGTGTGCAGGAGAAAGATCACAAAGCCATAAATCAGATGATATTGAAGTGGAGGCTATTAACTAGCCTTAAAGATTCCAGATAAACAGACCCTTCTTAGCGTTTATCATTATCCTCAATTGGCTTCATCTTGGCTTAGTGCATCATTTACGATCCGCTTGATAGCTGCTATAAATTAAATCTATCCATCAACTACTATTTGAAGTGCCATCCAACTTACCTTCAGCTAACACTGCTCCAAAGTGCTCCCAATTTACCACACTGCTGCCATTGTTTTTGCTACACTGCACTGAACTCCAACAAACAGCCCTCTTCTCGCCGCACACACTGTTGTTCTTGCCACCAGTTACACTACCACCGTTTCAGCACAATCCGTCACCTGCTGACATTCGCCACGTTTTCCTGCCCCCCTTTCTTCCACTCACTCACTGTTACTTTGTTTGATGGCACGCCGTTGACAGTTGATGACTTCAGCCGCTGCCACTGTCGGTGGTTGTCCATTAGCACACGATACGGCACAGCACAGCACACCACATATCACACAAACAATCCTCGAACTTACTGCCGTTTTCCCGAGCCCGTCTGGTGGGCTGCCTGGTTATTTACAAAACACTTTGCCCGAAGCCCCACGTACTCAGGGTCGGCAAAAAAAAATGATAGTAAATAGCTCAACACTGTAGCTAACGACTGGCGGTTCACTCAGTTAAGGTAAAAAAGACACATTCAATATTTGAATTTATTTTCCTTCCATTTAGCACCTCACTATCGACCAGCCGGTACTTTTACCTAGTTGAACTGCTTCAATTCATTCACTTTATGTCAGTAGGTTTGTTTCGATTTTCCGAACAGTGTCTATTCGACAAATCACTCCTAGCAAGCTGTGGCCACGGTTGGATGCTACTCGAACCAAGTAGGCTACCATATGGTTACATGTTAATCGCACTCCGTGGTGACATTTCCGTCTGTTTGCTCCTCATCGACCAATCGGCGATATGTCACGTTCTTGGATGGTGAAATCCTTTCACTTTTGACAATTTGGCACGTTGCACTTTACACTTTGCCGTATCGGAACTTTCCTGCACCCAGTGAACAACGTTAGTACGTCTTTTCCACCACGATATCACCAGATACTGAACGAAGGAAAGCACAAGAAGTTTTGGTGACGTATCGCGATTGCTGTGTGTATGCGGAAAATGCGCTCTCCCGAGGTGCTCGGCTTAGGGAAAGTGGGTTGACCGCCCTTTGTAGCACAGGAAATGGGGTGGTGAAAAGGAACGATAAGAAAAAAAAAACCAAGGAAGAAGGAGAGAGCGAGCCACCGTGAGCTCGCTCGGTTTTGTTCTATGTACCACGTAGGACACTTTTCGAAGCACACAACTTGATGAAAGGAAATCACTTCGCCAACTTTGTTCGGTTTTATCAATTTGTTGCAGCAGAAACTTTTTAGATGTGTTTCTTGTTACGAAATGGCAAAAACAAAAAATACAACAGTGGAAACACAAACTGCTGCTGCTAACACGTAGGGCACTTTTCAAGATAACAACACAACACTGCCGGCCGTCGCGGCGCTCGCGGTGCGGTGCTCGTGCGCTCGGTGGTAGGTAATAAGGTATGAAATAATGGCTTTTGTAATTATACACAACACAACACAACGGACACGAGATGCGTCGCTCGCGCGTCGGAAAGAAAACGAAAAACACGTCCGCACGCTACAAAGCCATAGTTGGAACTTGCGGGTGTGCTTTCCAGTACGAACGGAAAAACCTCCAGCGAAGCCACCCACTGGCGCCGTGTGTTGGTCGTTCTCTCGTTCGCCCGCTGCAGTTGGCTCTCTCTCTCTCTTTTAGAAGTGTGCGAGAGTAGGTATCATCCAAGAGAGAGAGAGAAAGAGAGCGAAAGAGTTTCTGATGGTGTGAGCAAATATTGCTCTCGATCGACATGCTTGAATGTTCTTTTGGTATGTTGATTGGACGGGGGGCTACCTGATGGAACGAGGAGCACGACTGAACACGTTTAGGATTTTAGCGCTAATTCTAGCGTGACGTAGCACGGAGCGCAAAAGAAAGCATTTTTGGTGACAACTATAATTGGTACACTTATGAATCCAATGGCAATGGCAAACTGGGGTTCGCGAATCCCCACTAAGTGAAAAGCACGTGAAAAGAAACGATGTTGAGTGAGCTTGACCGCACGGTAGGGGAACGTTGAAAATCGATACTCTAGACATTGCACTATGGTTCGAAACGGCAATTAAGCGGGACATCAATTTACCTGGGTTTAGTGTCTTGATAGAAGTTGTTTATAATTAAATTGGCCTTCTTTTTATAAAAAAATTTGACACGGATGATCCTTATTTTAACATAAATCAGTAATATAACGTTTTTGTTTTAAGTTACAAATATTTAAAGCAACTTTGTTTTGATTTTGATTTTATTTTTTTCGTCAACCCACGTAGTACAAATACATGTATAGCTTTGATCTTAAATGTATTAATATAAAAACAAATTTCTTTGAAAAAATAGTGAAAAGGCTGATTTTGTCTTAAATCAAAATTAAGCAGTGTTTGCTTTACTATATTTCTGCTTATGCGTTATGATTCCGTATATTTTGCATAAATAGTTCGATGATGGTTTATGGCAAATAAATTTCGATTTCGGAGGTGCATAGAAATTTAATTTTGATAAAATTCACTGCGAATCGAAATCGTTTAAAAATGAAACTATTTCAAATTCATGACGCTTTTCTATGGCTCCAGCTTCAACTCAGATGAAGTTTTAATACCGTCCTTGTTTGGATGATCTGCAAAATATTTGCTTAAATTCACGTTGATTAACTCTGATGTCGATACCCTCCTAGTCTCGATTAAAGCCGTATTTGCGGAGATAAATCGATTTAAAGATTTTTATACCCGACAGCCTGAAAATAATGGGTTTGGACATATTTTTTGACACCTAAAAACCCTCCAAATCTCGATTAGAGCCATATTAACGGAGATAAATCGATTTAAATTTTTTCATACCCGCCAGCCTGAAAATAATGGGTTGGGACATTTTTTTTGGGAAAAAAATGTAGACACCCAAAAACCCTCCAAATATCGATTAGAGCCATATTACCGGAGATAAATCGATTTAAAGATTTTTAAGCGCGCCAACTTGTTGGGTAATTGGTTGGGACATTTTTTATTAGGATTTTTTTTTGAGACCTAAAAACCCTCCAAATATCGATTAGAGCCATATTAACGGAGATAAATCGATTTAAAGATTTTTAAGCGCGCCAACTTGTTTGGGACAATTGGTTGGGACATTTTTTATAAGAGAATTTTTTTTGAGACCTAAAAACCTTCCAAATCTCGATTAGAGCCATATTAACGAAGATAAATCGATTTATAGATTTTTATACCCACCAGCCTGAAAATAATGAGTTGGGACGTGCTGTTATGTTTTTCATTCCGGTTTGGGGTCATTTGCACCTTGTTATCATGTAACCCAGCACGCTTCATGGTTTTCTGCACTAAACCGACTGACACCTTAGAATTTTCAACGAAATTTCGAATTGACATATTTGGACGGTTCTTGAACTGTTTCACCACTTTCCTGACCATTTTACTGTCCGTTGGAATATTTTTACGACCACTCCCTTCCTTGCTTCGGGCACTCAGACGCTCCTCATCACACGAGACACAGTTGTATTTGCAATTCCAAGCTTTTTAGCGATTAATCAGTGGGACGCCTCTGGATTTCGATTGTAATTGCACAAAAAAGTTTTCTGGAATGACTTTATGAATAACTATGAAAGATGACAGGTGTCAATACACTATGAATAAGATTTACTCAAATTTTCAGGTTATTTACTCGTACGGTTCAAAAGTTATAGAAGATTTTCGGTGTGCCATTTTTATTGAATTCACCCTTTAAAAATTTTTTTAAGTATATTATTTGAAAATAAAAACATGGCTTACATTTAAAGATGGTCAAACAAAAGATACGAAAATGAAGCAACGTTCTGTCTAGAATAAAACAGGAAAGGATTCAAAACAAAGCTCCTTGACAACTTATGGCGGTTTCTAGTAACAGAGTCAATAACAACAAGCTTGATGATACTCGATTGTGTTTGATTTTAACAGTTCTTGTGGCTTTTAACCCTTACCAAATGAAGTATTTATTTATTCCATGATATTGCATAATTCAGCCTGAATGTGCTTCAATTGGATCTTGTTTCAGTAAGCGGACTCTAAATTAAAAGATATTTAAGTTAAAGGCCGTTAACTTTAGTTAACTTTGAATAAACACCTTAACCTGAACCAAAGTTTAATTGTTTGAAGTGAGTCAGAATTCTATCATCATAATAAGCAGTGCATCCACTACCAAATAAATATAGAACACTTGCTAAAATTTCGATGCACAGTGTTCATTACTGTTTGTTTGGGAAATGAGAACGCCACACACTCTTGCAATCGCTTACTCTCACACTTTTGTTCGGAAAATTGTTGCTTATTCACTCGCAGTTGCCACGCTGCAAAATGAGAGAGGAGAGAGCATCAATTTCGTTTAGATACCTGCACAGTCCGATTCTCTGTTTTTGTTTCGATTTGTTATCACCTCGCTACAGAGAGTTGCACTACCCCACATGTAGGCTCACTCACAGTGCCCATAGGGTAGGTGACATAAGCTGAAGCTTTGCTCTCTCTACATGCATGCATGTATATATTTTGAGTGTGTGAAATAAAACGTTTTGGCCCAGAAGAGCTTCGTACAGTTTGGAGCTTTTACTCGATTGGTTTGTTTCCATGGAAGGTGTTACTGATCAAAACCTGCTTACCCATGTCACGACTCAGAGGCGTAGGTTTTGGGGATAAAGTTTATATAGGTCTAAGAGGAAGAGGAGACAATTATGAATTTAATGGACCAATTTTCTGTCAAACACGAACCTAATTGGTCGGGCGAACGTATAGAAACTAGAACTGGGACTTCAACTATCCGGATACTTCAATTTTTGCAATAAAATTACTTTCAGACAAATGAAATATATTGGTAGGGGAAATGGATGTAATGTCGGCCTAAATGCCCCTAATTTGGGCCCATACTTAAATTCAGCAATCGACTAGATTTTCAATAGCGACCTAAAATATCCATCAGTACCGTCTAGATCAAATTGATAAATAGCAGATTTTTAGCGATGGGCCCAACATTAGAGCCATTTCCATCCATAGGCCAACATTAGAGCCATTTCCCCTATTCAGTATACAGAATATCATGCTTTCTAAAGCCCAATATTGAAATAAAATAAATTGAGAAACGTTAAGATGGTTATCAGGCGGATAGTAAATATCCAGATATCCGGATAGTGAAATTTAAAATTTATTCTCCCTTTAACAGTTTTTTTTACTGTTCCAAATATTGTGGAATGGCAGATCTGTTAATTGCCAATATTTAATAAAATTGAAAAAATAAAAATATCCAGATAATCCAAGTCCCAGCACTAATAGAAACGCGAGAAATTTTACAACAGGGAATCTATTATCTTATATTTTGACAGTCGACTGCGTCGCCCATAATGAAATGGTGTTTTCACGGTCATTTCCGCGAGAGAAGAAGAACACGTCACATACAAAAAGAAGCCAGACCAACATTAGAACAATTTCCTCTATGTGCTATTTATTTTTTAATTGACCTCGCATATTCGTAATAATAATAATTCTTTTTTATCTAGCTCGTTTATTTGGAAGGCTCAATCGCGTTAGCTTTACGGAGTCAATAATTCAGTGTTCATCGTTTTTAACAAAATTCACTTTTATCTATGTCTAGTAGGAGTTGGGCCGAATACTCGCGGCTTACTCGAGGTTAGAGGAGTACATTGTTAAAGGATAGGATCAGGGGAGGAGCTAGAGGAATATAAAAAAATAAGCACATCATAATGAGAGAGAGACGGATTAGTATTTTCCATTTAATTCCACTACTTTATTTGCTTATCCTTGACAGATACGCGTATTTCGTCTACAATGTGCAGACTTCTTCAGTGTCTTGTACTAATACTCGACTACACTGAAGAAGTCTGCACATTGTAGACGAAATACGCGTATCTGTCAAGGATAAGCAAATAAAGTAGTGGAATTAAATGGAAAATACTAATCCTTCTCTCTCTCATTATACAGGTATTCCACTAAGACGCCCACATTCATCAGGATTTAAGCACATCATGTTTTTCAACACAATACAATCCACCACATCACTGCTTGCAAGATTTTTTGGCAGTGTGGTGCAACTTCAAGCACAATGCATAATTAGGATGTTTCAATGCAACGTGCAATTCTATCAAAAACGGTGTTTAGTTACATCCCTGGAAAGGACAAGCTGAGGCCACCACCAGTGCAGTGGTGGTAGTGTTAGTGTTAACAACACGTTTTTAAGCTACATTCATGTGTGCCGCATGGTTATATCGCGTTTAAAGTTTTTGCTGGTGTAGTAATGCTGCTATCACATCCAATTATAATGCACTTCATTTTTGGGCAACGATAATTCCTGTTAAACACAGTAAACAGCGCCTATGACACAACAAAGATTAAAAAAATCCTTCCCGCCGCTCGCGACAAACTTTCCTAACAACGTATCACGCATAAAGAGAGCTTGCTTGCGAATATTTACAGCAGCTGTCAAATGTTGACGTAAAATCGAACCAGAGAACCAGGATTTTTCGAGCGCAGTTTTGTTATCC